ACAGCTCTGTGTGCCTCACGGATCACCAATTTTGAAACGTGATGCTCCCGTGGGAGTATCACCGGATGACGAGCTCGCATCGAGATTCCTTCTGCCGCATCCAGCCGACCTCCCACCACCAGGAGACCATCACGAATATGCGGTCTGAGAGCGGCCAAGGGGCTGGTCCTCGCCACCCTCACCGGACCGTCCGTGGACAGATCACGAGGAAGATCAGCCATGCCGGACTGAGCGTAGCGGAGAATGTCGGACTCAGCATCGCTCAAGTCCGACTGCGTCAGGAGAGCCTGCGCGCCTCCACCACGTCTTGGCCTGAGTCCTTTCCTCTTCGCCAAAACGTACCTGCGGAAATCACCATTTTTGATGACAGTCATGAATCTTTTGTACCAGGCTACTGCCACCTTCAGCCGATAGAAAGACGAAAAGTAACGAACTAGCCCACCGAATGGATCAGTCTGACGCCCGACCAACGCTGTGGCTACAGGACTAGACTTCTTTACCTCAGACGCTGGGAGAGGGGTACGCTCAGTCGGCTCCACAGGCCACATTGACTGGTCCTTCATCAAGAAGCCCGGACCCCTTAGCCACATTCCCAAGTTGGTCCCGTCTGCACCACGTGAGCCCACGTCGGCAGGGTTATCTCCCGAGGGTACATAACCCCATTCAGACACCTCTGTCACGTCATGAATCAGGGCCAGTCGGTTCGCAACGTAGGTTTTGAACCGGGTCGTCCTGTTCCTGATCATCATCAACACCACCATACTATCCGTCCACATATGTACTCTGTCGAACCTCGTGTCAAGCTCCCTGACGAGAAACTGCCGGATCAAAGAACCCAGCACGGCCCCAGCGAGCTCGAGCTTTGGGACGGATACAGAGCGAAGCGGGGCCACTCGGGACTTTCCCATCAGGAATTCCATGAACACACTGTCTCCATCACTCTCGGTCACGACTTCCTTTCGAATATATGCCACCGCAGAATAGGCCGATTCGCTGGCGTCGACGAACACGTGCAGCTCCGTGGAGCGCACACTTCCCGATGGACCAGATATGTCACGAGCCAGGCACGCACCGCTCAGCTCCTCAGCTCGGCGAAGCCATGCTTGCCACTCATCAACCAAAGCGGGTGGAATTGCCTCATCCCAGCCACAGGATGCAGCACAAAGTTTCTGCAGAATCAGCTTCGCTGACAGGGAAATGGGAGCCCAGAATCCAATGGGATCGAAAACACTGCTGACGGTGGACAGGATCCCGCGTCTCGTCACGGGGCTCTTCCTGTCTTGAAAGCAAAAACGGAACGTGTCATCCTCCATGCACCATTCCACGCCCAACGCACGATTACAGCCAAGTTCGTCTCTGTCCAGATTCAAATCTCTGACGCCCTTTCCTCTCTCTCCTTCGGGAATGCTCCTTAGGAAATCTGCACTGTTAGATACAAACTTCCTCATGCTGAACGCGCCCGTTTGGCACAGCCGTTTCAGATCATCTGCGAGACTGACCGCTTTCTCAACAGAGTCGACTGCCACAAGCGCGTCATCAACGTACATGTTTCGCAGCAGCACATCAGCGGCCTCGGGAAACTGCTGCTTTCCCCCCTCGGCGCACAGTTGCACAGCCAAGGATGCAACGCTGCTGCTAGAGACCGCACCGAATACGTGTGAACGCATTCTCCACACTTCAATCTCGCCTGCATCAATGTCATCGTTCTTGAACCACAAGAACCGAAGTAAGTCTGAATCCCTGGCAGGGACATGTACCCTGTGATACATCGCCTGTATGTCGCAAGCGAAAGCCACACCACCTTCACGAAAGCGAGAAACAACCGCTGTCAGCGGCTGACCCAGGTGGGGACCGCCTTGGAGAATGTCATTTAGACAAACCCCTGCTGACCGAGCAGCGCAATCGAACACCACCCTGAGTTTCGCTGGGCTTTCTACCGCATGGTGCGGAAGGTACCAAACGTCACGTGACCTTGGGGCAAGCTCGCTGGACGGAACCCTCTCTGCATAGCCGTCATCTCTCAGCGAGTTGATCACAGACGCGTACGACTGAAACATGCTCGGGTCCCGTTTGAACTTCCTTCTGAGCGAACCGAGTCGCCTCTCGGCAACTGGGAAGCTGTCAGGAATGCTACCCAGGTCTGACCTTGGAAGAGCGATTTCGAAGTGACCGTCCTCGTCCTTGCGGACGGTACCTTTCACCCTGTCCAACCACTCCTTGTCCTCGACAGACATGCCTTCACGATTGTCAGATACATCACGGAACTCCTCAGAGTAAAGTTTCTCAAACATCAAACGGATGTCCTCCTCGTCATCTCTGCAATCACTTTTTCGCAGAAAGTTAACCAGATGCGGTCTGCCGTCTAGGCCGTGACAGGAGAGTCCCACTACGTACCAACCCAAATCAACTCTGACACCATGTGGTCCTTCCTGTCCTGCTGACGGAGACACAACCTCTCTCACCATCAGAAGGTCAGCAACATTTCCACCAATCAGCAGCCCGACGGGCACGTTCAAATCCAGAATTTCTACACCATTCAGATGCTCCCATCTCGTCGCCTGTTCTACACTGCACCTGTCACTGGACGTGACTGGTATGTTGGCCAGTGAGAATAAGGGCGGCAGACAACGGTACTGATCGCCAACGAGAGGCGCGACCTCTACGCCTTCAACGAGGCCGGAGTCCAACTCCTGCCTTGAATCCGTCACCGTATCTATGCGAATCGTCGTCGGCCGTTTCTCTACCCCCAATCGAGTTATGGTTTGATCAGTAATGAAGGAGGTAGAACTGCCTTGGTCCAGGAAGGCATTCGTTACAATCTCCTTGCCCGTGCTCGACCTTAGCCGAACCGGGACTATCGGCATGTAAGTACGTACATCATCAGTGACATCCACGCGTGCACTGACCATGGATGCTCCACCCCCACCGAGCGATTGAACCGTACGGGTACCCACAGGAGCCCCACCGGCACCAACACCATCCTGCACCGGCTGACTCGGGCCCGGCACACCACGAACAGATGTGCGACCTCCCCCCGGTACCGCACGGATCGCCTCGGTAGGTGACTGATTCACCCGGCCGGGCACCTGAGCGCTGCCAGGCGGCACATGGCTCCCACCAGACGGAACCTGAACAGCTCGAGATCCTGGGGAAGAACCCGCACCAGGTGGCGCCGATGAGAACGTCCTGTGCAGCACAGTAGGGTGCCGTGCACCACAGACGTTACACTTCAGCCGCGAGCGACAAAACCTCGCCACATGTCCCTTTCTCAGGCACCCAAAGCAGAGCCTGTGATCAGACACAACCCCCTTTCTACGGTCCCAGGTCTGCCACATCAGCTGATCACAGTCCCCAATGAAGTGATTGCCATCACAGAACTCGCAGCGCCGGCCCGCTGACGACGGCAGCGGCCGAGCGCTAACAGCACTCACGCGCGCGCGATGAGGATCGACGCGACTCACGCCGCCAGACGCCCGCGGTCCAGACCGCAGCGATCCGAAGACCGCATTACTCTTTACCCTGACCTCAGCTGCCAGAAAATCCACCAGGTCCTTAAGTTCCACCATCCGGCCCTCTGGTCCCTCCATCACCCTGTCGACCTCCCTGAGCCACCGATCCTGCAAGTACCCAGGCAACTTTCGTACAACATCCCTCAGGGTTCGCGGGTGGTCCAGCTCCCCCTTTGGGAGGCCAGCCATGGCATGCTGGATCTCTGTCAGTAACAGCACCAGCCTGTCCAGCCCTTCAACATCCCCTTCAGCTACCTTGGGCCAGTCTCTGAGCTTATCCGAGAAGGTCTCTATGAGCAGATGCCGATTACCGTACCGCACCTCCAGCAAACGCCGGGCCTCAGCATAGCCCTGGTCGCCGAGATAGAGGCAGCTGCGCACGATCTCCCTGGGCTTCCCTTGGGTATATTGCTCGAGATAATATAATAACTCCGATTGATCCCCAGTCCTGGCCGCTACACGGGACTCAAAGGCCTGAATGAAAAGTCGATATTCTGAGATCTCACCACGGAAGGGAGTCAAAGCTGCAGGAGGCAGCAGTGACCGCTGCACCTGCTCTGTCAGTGCAGTAGAGATGTCACTATGCCCCGTTCGAATCCTAACATCCTCAGTGACATCATGTCCCATGGCAGCAAGTTTCTGTTCTAGAACTAACTGCTCTCGCCTAGCCTTTATCTTTCTTTGCATCTGTTCTATACGGGCCTCCTCCTCATCTAGCATACTTCTCTCTTTCAAAAATCTCAATTGACCCTGCAGCACAGCACGCTCCTCTGGAGCACTAACTCCCTCACTTACTGCTACCTTACTACTCTCCCGCTCCTCCTCCATTGCCGCCCACAACCTATCAACTAACTCTACTTTCTTGCCCGATGTATCTAGTCCACGCTCTTCTAGCAAGCGCTGCAGCTCAGAGGCCCTATAATTACTTATATCATCTCGAGAAGCCATATCAGATAATACCAAGACCTACCTACCTGCGGATGATAGCCTATGTCACCACCAATAACTCTCTGCAAGACTTAAGCTAAACAGATGCCTGACATACATAACAATAACAACCAACCAAAGCAGGATACATCAGAACCCAAAATATCAACAACCTCACACACTTAGCAGCACACACAATGAACCTCAGCTTCCACCATAGCCAACCATGTGTCACACCTCCCAATCCCCATACCCCAAGCTGTCTGCATCACACCAAACTGCAGCTACTGGCACCAGATGTCACCGCGATTCTTACTGCCCAGCAAACGCTGCTAGGACCATCAAACTAGAAGGCATCACAAGGCACCAGGTGATGACGCCTTCAATCTCCCTGACCGAATGTGGGCCCCCAATACCTCATGTATGCAGACGCCAGATGAAACCTCACTGGACAAGTCAGTCTGACGAACTCCGCAGCAGCTCCTCGTCAAGCAGGAGTGCAGGGAGAGAAGAGTCCGATGAAACTGTAGCCGCCGTCTGCTCCGCTCCGCCAAACAGGCCAGATGATTACCACGCTGTATTGTAACAGCGCATGTGCATGAGCACGGTTTCTGCCAAAGACACACAAACAAATATAACACATACCACAGTTGAACATAGGCGTGAGGGACAGAAACATAGCTATATGAGGTGCTATCTCACATTATTACACTTAAGTCAAATCTCGTACTTATGCCGACACACTTACGCCAAAACAATAATCATATCCTCACCATCGGAGTGACTCTCGGCAGGATGTAGACGGCAGCCAAAGTGAGCACAGTGCTCGAGCGCCACCAAAACCAGGCGCCAAGTACGTGGCCGGGCGCGCCACACCAAACAGGCGCTGTCGAGGCGTCGGGCGCCACACCAGGCAGGCGCCACCAGCGCGCCGAACGCCTCACCAACGGCGCCACCAGTACGTCGAGCGCCGCACCAACCGGCGCCACCAACAGAAGCAGGCGCCACGGATGATTCGCACCAAAAACCGGGCGCAACCTGCATGCGACACCCCATTTACAAATGTGGCGTAACAGTGACAAAGAAACGAAACAAATCCGTCTAAATGGTACAGGTAAGAGCCAAACTGTAACAGAGCTGACCACGTAAAAACCAGCAAAACGGTAATTAATGGAAATTATGCGAAACATTACAATCATGGCATACAATTTTATCCATACAAACCATTTCACTTACAGGGCACGCCGCGCCACACGTCCAACTCAACGCAGAAACCGAAATGAACATCACTAAGCGTACCACGACTACATCACCTCTAATCGCCAATGAATAAAAATGCCAATAGAAACCGAAAGACAGGTATACCAAATCGCCACATATAATAAATGAGGGTCACGACACATAATATGCCGAGATATCTTAAGCCAATGACGACAATCAAAAAACAAACGCCAACCAAAAGTTCAATACTGCCATCACTATACTGCGCTAGTACTGACACACATACACATGTACTGCCACTAGCCGGCGGTGCCATCTATTGCCGAGCTACGCAAGCAGGAGGGCCACGGGGGGCGCTACTGTCGACCTAACCGCGCACCGAGCAGCTGAGTCGAGCAGACGTACGAGCAGCGCCTACAGTTCCTATTATATCCAAAATTGTAGAGAAAGCCGTACATCAACAGCTCTACAGTTACCTATCCAACAACCATCTCCTCTCCCCCACTCAGCACGGTTTTCGGCCTCGTCACTCGACTGAAACCGCGCTGATATCCATATCCGATCACATCCTATCCGCTACCGACCGTGGAGAGCTATCCCTTCTCTGCCTGCTGGATTTGAGCAAATGTTTTGATGTGATAGACCACGATAAATTATTGACTAAATTGCAGCTTCATGGTATTGATACAGCTTGGTTTTCGGCATATCTTCACGGCCACACCCAAAGTGTCAGCCTCACTGACGCTCTGGGTGGAAGAACTACCTCATCTCCGCTCCCCAACAGCATCGGTGTTTTCCAAGGCTCCGCCCTCGGCCCTCTTCTCTATTGCATTTTTGCCAACGACCTTAGCTTGTTCGCCGAGGATGCAGTCGTAGTTCAATATGCAGACGACACCCAAATTTTGGTCAGTGGAAAAAAGTCAGAAATTCATAACGTAGTATACCGGATGGAACAGACGCTAGCTTCTCTTGACCTCTGGTTCCGTGCCAACGGCTTAAAAGTCAATGCCGGGAAAACTCAGCTGATGCTGCTGGGTAGCGCTCAAAATTTGCGCAATGCCCCAAATGTTACGGTAAAATTTCGCGATCACGTTATCATTCCCGTCTCGGAAGCACAAAATCTTGGCCTGACGTTCGATCGCAACCTCACCTGGAACACTCACGTCTCTGCCGTCACCCGGCGCTGTTCCGGCATTCTCAGTGGCCTATCACATCTCAGGGGGCGCCTGCCTCCGTCCGTCATCTCCGTGCTGGTCAACGCCTTGGTTCTCTCGCAGCTTCGATACTGTATCACTGTCTATGGCAACGGTTCGAAGAAGAACCTTGCACTCATTCAGAAGACTCTAAATTATGGGGCAAAAATCATTTTCGGACGCAAAAAGTATGATCACGTGTCGGACCTGCTTGAGAAGCTGCGTTGGCTCAGCGCGGAGAACCTTGTGGTGCATGGCACACTGTGCATGGTGCACAAACTGCTGCGCTTCGGTGAGCCCGAGGTGTTAGCCGCCGGTTTGTCAACCGTGGCTGCCGCTAGGGGCTCACTAGGAGCGCAAGCTAGGGTGACCCGACAGGACCACTCACTATATGTGCTCCGATCTAGAACCGAAGCAGGCAAGAGGCGCTTCATCAGCCGTGGTCCGGTTCTTTACAACCGCCTGTCACCCGATTTGCTCGGGCTCCCGGTGCCTGTTTTTAAGCACCGCCTCAGGCGGCTGCTGACGGATCCAACCTGACTGAGTTGAGCTAACCATCTGGTGTGTATGTGTGCTGGTATTGTCTGTATCTATGTTTCTTGTATTATCTTGACTATGATGTATGCGAGTGTGATTGTGATGCTTGTCTCTCTTTATCTTGACTTTGAAACCACCGCTTTAATTAATTTTTGACGAGAGGATGTAATAGCCGCTTTTAGTGGATTTCCTTAATACACGTCTGAGTCTGAGTCTGAGCATCCAACCAAGAAAGAAAAACATTCATCTATTTTGATTTTTCCAAATAATGATCTTCGCTCAAATCCCCAAGGACGTGCGAGCCACAATTGCCTCTTTCAATGAAAAATTTTACTTGAGTTTTTAATGACGTCAATAACAAAGAAGTGCAATAAATTGTTTTGTGTCACTATAAACAGCCATAAAAATTATACTTAATGAATAATAATGCTATACAGTTAAAAACTTGTTCTCAGACAAAGAATTAGTATCAAATTTTTACATTGTCAGAAGAAGACGTCATTTTATTAGTAAAGTCAACAGCTCGCGTAAGAAATATTGTGTTCAGGGTTTTCACCGTAATGTGAATTACGTGTTCATGGTTTTCACCATCATGTAAATTAACCGTAAGTAAGGTTCATGCTCACTTATAATCTAATTCCATTGGCTTCGTCGATCAGCATTTTCTGTTAGCGGTCACTCACACACCAGTTAGAACATAAAGCGCCAGTTTTATATTATGTAATTGGACTTGCCGAAAATCCAGAAATACATCTAAGAGTTATTTTAGATAATATCTTATGAAGCCTTTACCTGCCTTTACCTAGGCGTGATTTTTTTTCTATTACCTGAAAGAATTATTGAATGCTCGTCTTCAATAGCTGTAAGGTGCTCTCCTAATGACCAGGTGAGATTGATTTGAGAGGGATGTGACAATGCAACATGTTGCATTTTCTGAAACTGTCAAGCTCTTGATGATGAAGGAACAATTGGTACCTATAATTAGTATTCTGTACCAGAGTGCAAACTCCCCTACAGCAAATGGTAAAACCATTACAGGTTTTCAAAGGCTTCACCACTTTCAATGTTGCTGGGCATCCTTTGCATGATTTTTACAGGCTAGACTGCTTATCAGAATGTAAGATTAAGGATTTAAAATTTTATATTTGAGTACTTAAGATTGAGCTTGAAATCTCACAGCCGTGGCCACAGCCGTAGCCGTGTTCTTGGAGATATTTGCAGCCGCCCCGGCTCACAGCCGTGGGGCTGCAGCCAGCCGCGGCTGCAGCCGGCCGGTGCAGACCTCTAGTGGCTGCGACCACACATTAGAGGAACAGTAAGAGTTGCTTAAAGCTGGGACGCCGCGTTATCCAAAAACCCCAGTTCCCACGTCTCTGGACGATTGCTGTGCGAAATAATAGACACCAATGAGCTCAATCAAGGCCTTAATACTCATCTGTTAAAAACAATGTAGCTCCGCAACTCGATGCACGTGTAATATAAATTATATCGGCTGTCCCAATGCCACGTTTAAGTGTGTCGTAATGTGCATGGCAAGTATGATGATGGGCGCTGTCTTGGGGATAGGACATTTTAACAACTGCTTTAGCACAATTGTTAGGTAGAATAATTGACGCCTTGAGACGCGAAAGTTAACTACACTCGCTCAGCCGCGCGATGGTCCGTGCTCCCACCCCCACCTCACTCCCCAGCCCTCGCCAGCCGCCGCGCCGCGCCGACCCGAGCCATGCCTCCGGGCTCGGCCCTCACCGCTGCGCTGACGTCACAGGCGGCCCACATCGCCTTCCAGCCACCGACCCAGACTGGTGGCATATGGTGTGGGTAGGCTGTGCCGCTTGACAAGTAAGTAAAGCGGCAGTCTACCGGTACCAGGCGGCTGCTGCCAATGCTGAGCCATAGGAACCCGGTGGATAAAGAGTTGTAGAAACTTCGTCTACTCGTTTCACTGAAAAGCTCCGAAATTTTGAAGAAGAAAAACCTGATTATAGCTTTAAGAGCAACTACCTACCACCTAGATTATTGAATTTTAAATCCAGTCTCTGCACACATCAAATGAGGAAGGATTTAGCATTAAAAGACTATAAGCACTATGAAGTTCGAGAGCAGTGCAGCAAGATATGCAACTTCGAACCTTAGCTAGTCTGCCTTACCCCACATGTTGGAAGCGGCTAGGTGTGACCCATTGTTGCGGATTGACTAACAGAGGTGTTGTGTCTTCAGCCAAACCTGATGGGAGCGCCCCGCCCAGCCCGGCGCCGGCGTCCAAACGGTCCGCGTCGGAGAGGGAGGCCGTCCAGGCGCCGCCGGCTGCCGCTCAGGTGCCGCCGTCCAAACGGTCCGCGTCGGAGAGGGAGGCCGTCCAGGCGCCGCCGGCTGCCGCTCGCCCCGCCCTGGTAAGAACACTGACCGACGCCAGTATACATCGATTATTCTGAAGCAGTGGCCACTAACTTCTCTAACATTGACAACTTATCAAACAAAAACATTATATAATAAAACGACAGGTAAAAGTTGATTCTATAGCCAAAACAGCACTAGATGAACTTAAAGCTGACGCCCGGCAGATGCAAGTTACCCAGCCTATTATCTTATCTCTTGGCATCGCTGTGTGATGGCATGGACCAGCCCCCTCCAAAGTCATATGGCAGCATGGGCTTGACTTTTCCTACTAGCCCATAGGGTTGCGTGTTAAAATGCGACTTATCGCACTCGGTTTTCAATGTCTCGTAGTGTGGGCATCCACATATAAAGTATGTTAAAAGATAGCTACAACATTTTTATTTTCATTTTTGGGACGAAAAGTTCAAGCCCATCCAACCGTTTTCGACATATTCGTCCATACAGGGTGTCCCAAAAGTTCGTTCTCACCTAAATTTTACGTTTTTAGTCTCTCTTGATTAAAGGCACGCTGAAATTGGTTCGTAATTGAGCTTACGTGGTTGCCATGGCTAGTAGAAATATGCTCCACAGTAGCTAATTTCTGTAGACAAAATAGTTTTTGTTAGAGAGCCCGCTTCCCACAGAGACGGCTAACGCCGCAACATAGAGGTCTCTGATACGGGTACGTCTCAGTATTTAGTCACCACGTGACCATTCGCGACGATTGAGGGTGATTGAGGCCTACCAGTCTGCAGCCAATGTCCATCGCTAACTGGATGCACAGTCAGCAAGTGACGCCGATGATTTGTCGGGAGTCAATCACTGCAAGTTTATCCTCTTTCCAGTCAGCCCTCAGGAGTGAGCCAAGTGGCCAAAACTGTGTGGCGCCAAAGTGGCCATCAAAAAGGTCAACGGGTTAGAAAGTTGGTAAGCAGACTTTTCAGGATGGATTACCAGCTGTTTAAGAGCGTTCTTTCGGGGTACATAACTCAAGGTGACTTAAGCTTTGCTTACCGGAGGGCACAAAACAGTCAAAAACGTCTTAAAATGGCCAAACATGAGTTTCGTTATGCCTTAGGCTAAACAAAACTAGAGGGCTGATGACATCAACCAGGTCATCTGGACTAACTAGTCCACGTTCGAGATGAAACACCCGTCCAAACCCGAAAACAACCCCATAAGGGCGAAGGAGGAGGCCTCCGTTTCGTCCCGTTGTGCTCCTATGCAAAAGGCCAGGGTCACTGTGTTGTGGGATTATAGGCTTTCTGGAGTTGACCAAGCTGCAAGTGGCAACCCAGAAACAGTTTTGGGAAGCAGAGTGCTTTTCCAAGAACATCTAGGAGGATTTTCAGCCCTGAAGCTGAACTCGAACCGCGAGTATGAACACAATTATAGAGGAGAAAATGGCATCCGGGAGGTCGTAGGCCCATCTTCAGGCAAGACAGTGCATCAGTGCACAGGTCAAGCAAAGCTTAAAAGCGGTGCAAGGAGACTGTGACAGGCGTTTGTGGCAAGATCACATGCCAGGCACTTCATCGGATCAAAATTTCATAAAAATTTGTTGGTTATGCTGAAATTGAGGCTCGTCGAAGCGTAGCGCTGTTCCAGCCTCGAGGAGCTCACGGCGCATGTCAAGTCAGTCTGGGTTAACTTAAAGCCTGCTATGCAGCCAAACATGCCGGTTGGCATGCCGCTGCATGTATTCATGTGTTTGCCTATTAAATGGGGAGCACATTGAGGGGTCATCAACATATCAAAACGCAATGTACTCTGTTTCACATGCAAACATAATGTGAGAACGAACTTTTGGGACACCCTGTATATGACCCCATGTTTTTGATACATCGGAAGGTCCTGTGTTCGAATATCGGACAGACAAAAACTTTTATCGTTAATGTGCGGCAAACCATGACTGCAAAGTAAAGTAGGGGTGAGCGCGCTGGTGATGGAGAGTTGTAACTTGGCATACCTGACCTTTGATTCAAGCCAGATTGTGTGGCACCAACCTGATTTTCAGGTCAGGTCAGGTCACTGACCTATGACGTCATAAGTGAACCTCTGCAGGTCTCGAAAACGTCGTAACATCGCAACTCCATCAATGCAAGGAGATCTATCACAGGTAGATAAAATTTACAGAACTTATCAAACTCCCTTATTCTCAAAAGTCGTAAACTTCGGATTTCTCCTAAGGGTCACCTAACGTCAGGTCGGTCAGGTGCTCTGGCCATTATAAGCCAATGGGGGAATATTGGGACAGTTATTTTGGCGCTGACAGTGATCTTAGACGGAAAAGACACAAATGGACTCAGAAATACCTGCCGAATTGAATAAAGTGCAACTTGACCTCACACATATTCCGAATTCCGGTCAAGGTGGACATGTCAGTAATGAGCTTTTGCGTGGATACGAAAACTAATCGAGTTAGGATGCTGCTCGCTAGGTGGCAGGCACCGTCAGTTAGATCTAAGGAAAATATGTACCGACCGCTGTGTTTGGACGAACAATGAATGCTTAATGGACGATGGTAGGTTGGCTGCAAAAAAAACTTTTAGGTGGACATGTTTTTTTCGGTGGACATTTTTTACAGATCACCACAGGTATTTTGGTGGACTTGCATTATTCCTATGTTGCAATCGTGATGACTACCTGCGACCTCGTAACAAAGGCGTAAGAACAGGCGTTTGATGAAGTTGTTTTTTAGCATCTTGACGGCCACCAGATCGGACCCGCCATCCGGCACACTGAATTTGGCGCTCAGTACGCGGCCGTAATAGCCCTCGCCAATCGAACTGCCGAGCTTCAGTCGCTGCCGATCCAGCTCCCAGGCAGGGTCTAACGGTACATAGACGACAACTGTCAGGGTCTCGCGTGGGCTGTTGGTTGCGGACCCCGGGTAGCAGCGAGTCGGGGCCGTGCTCCACTGGCACGGCCGGCGGCGGCGTCTGCATGGCGCGCCGTCGGCAACAAGTAGGACAAGTGTGACCCAGGCTGATCCAATGTGACAAGAGGTGACTTAGGGTGACCTCGCCTGACCGAAGGTGACCTGGCCCGATCCAACGTGACCGGCGATGACCTCCTTGACCCGACTTGACCCCGTATTACCTAAATTCTACCTAGCAATGCCCTGAGAAGTTTTTTGTTCGATTTTTTTTCTCTGCACGTTTCTGTTTATATCTCTGTCTCCAGACGGCACATCAATATGAATCAAACACAATTCGAAAGCAAATTGGCTGCGGTCACATTCAGCCTGCATCCGGCATCCGGAAAATCAGGGGCAATTATCCGGGGTCAGCGAGAATTTGATCGGAGATCACGTTCGGTATCGTGATAGGGAGACGTGCTGAGGATAGGCGCTCACCAATGATTTTCCGGCGGGGAATGTCCAAACGATAATATTTTCTGGGTGCTAAATGCACCCTTAACCCGCGCCCTGGCAGGGGGGTCGATGCGACCCCCCTGTTTTTTTTTGTTTGTTTTTTTGGCGATGCGTGCCGAACTATTCGTAGGATCGTGCTGAAATTCAGCAGCGACGAAACACCTTCAATTAAGGGAGGGGGGCACTGCCGACTTTTGGACCCATTCTTTCCATACAACGCCCATAGGGCTAATGTTAAAATGCCAATATCAAAGGGGGGCACGGTGCCCCGGTGCCCTCCCCGTTCCGCCGCCTATGCTGAAATTTTTAATAGCCTCTAGGGCATCCTTTGCGCAACTTTTAGTAAAAAAAACATTTTCGGGTCATGTCAGGTCTCCGAGCTATGACGTGGACTCCCCTATGACGTGGCCTGAGGACCCCCCTTTACAAGGTCAACCCAGATCAAGCTCTTGATGTTCGCGACCGTCCTCGCCGGCGGCGGGTGTGACCTCCCGTGTTCCCGGGGAATAAGTCAAGCCAGTAATGACTGAAATGCAGTTAACTATACATCATTTTGTTGCTAATTCGTTGAGAAACGCGGTCGTGAAAGTTTTATGTCGCCATCTTTCATAGATTCGCCAAAATTGGCTAAGTAGTTAGTAATTTGGAAAATTGGGGGTACTCCTAAATCGCAAAGAGAAAAACGTAGCCAAACCCAACTATGCCAGAAAGATAAGCGCCTTGGGAAGGAAACTTACACCATGGGGCTCAAAAGGACTTACCCCATACGGAAAAGTACATATTATTAAAACTGAGGCACTTTCACAACTTACATACCTAATGAAGCGTAGTGGCTCGACCTTCCGTGGATCAGATAAAAGAGATCAATAGAATTGTTATACGCAAAACACTAATTAATGACAAGGCGAAAGGCGGATTAAAGGTGCCAGACGTGGGCGCTCAATCGACGAGCTTAAAGATCGCATGGGTAAAAAAAAATCATCAACCCTGACTGCAAGAGCAAATGGAAAGCGGTGGTCAAAGATAAGCTTACAGTTGCAGAAGGCGTCACAGTGTTTCACTGCGAAGGAAACGCTGAACTTTTATATCCACAGTTAGTGACAGCTTTTAGGCGGAGACAGCGGAATCGTGGTTTAAACTGGCCAAAGAACTCGATAAAGATGCATCTGGTGGTCAATGGCTTTCAAAACCTCTTTGGTTTAATGCAGAGTTGAATCTAGAAAATAACCCAAACATTCGAAAACGCGAACTCATGAGGCGCAGACTGCTAAGAATGGGTGACATTTATCATTCGGAGCATAAATGTTCACCGTTAACGAGCTGCAAAGCAGATATTGGCTTCGGGCATTTTCTGATGTGGCAAGCGCTGTTGCGTAGTGTCCCCAGCCATATCAGCAGAAAACTCGCACGAGACATGCCTGGCAATGCCGAACCACTGGATAGCATTATAAAACTAAAAGAAGCTGGCAAAACGGCGCAGTGGTCATATAATACCCTACTTAAGAACTTCAATCCCACCAGTCCTACAATAGTCGACTTAAATGGAGCAATGAACTGGCTCTTAATCAAAGCTTTAACTGGGAGAAAGCTTATAAGTCAACTGTATTCAAGTACCTCGGACTTTAAGCTCAGGTGGCT